CCGGTTCACGACAAGTATGCTTTGGTTAGGTTCCGTGTGTACTTGCTTGGAGAAGGACGCTTTGCAATCTATACAGATCATGCCGTACTGTGTACGGCAGTAAAGACTTCTCATTTATCGCATAGAATGGCTCGATGGTATTCTTTTTTTGAAGAGTACAACTTTGCTGTGCACTACAAGCCAGGCAAGAAAACATCTTGGCCGATGCTTTGTGAAGACGTCCAGACTATGATTCATAGCCCGGGAGTGAAAACATGCACGAGTCATGTCGACAGCGCAAAGATGTTTAAACGATCAAAGTGCAAAAAACAACTACAACGCGCGACAGACTTTGTAGAGGTGTCAAAGACCCTTCCGACAAAGCACTGCAAGGTCTTCCGTCTCGCACAAGATCGCGTGTTCACTGTTTTGAAATACACCATGAATTGTTGTACTATGCGGTTGGACTCGGGGATACAGCAAGAATTGTTGTTCCACATGACGAAGGTTTGCGTCATCGTTTTTATATGAGCATCATGGCAACCCTTCATGTAGCCATCTCGGGCGTGAGAAAACGTTTTTTAGTCTTTCTCGAGATTACTAGTGGCCACGCATTTATAAGTGGGTGCGCAAGTATGGTCTTGTAAGATTTGCCAGATAATGAAAGTATCGGGTCCCACTCAGGCCCCACTTAGGTCGTTGGCAGTGCCAACTGACAGCTGGAACTCGGTGAGTAATAAACTTCATATTCGGACTTCTGCGTGACGCACATGGATGCAGTGGCATCCTTGTTTTAGTGGGCCGATTCGGCAAGATGGATCATCTTGCGTCTGTTTCGGATAAGATCTCTGCCGAGAAAACAGCTAAGGTCTTTGTAGACGTAAATTTCCGTCCGCACGATCTTCCTGTTGATATCGTGTCCGACCGTGACATCCATTTCACGTCGAAGTTTTGGTGTGCACTGTTTGGGCTGTTAGGCACCAAATTGTCCATGTCAACAGCGGCACACCCTGAAACAGACGGTCAAACAGAGCGTGTGAATCGAGTCCTGGAGGACGTACTGCGTAGTTACGCTACGTCGCTCAAAGGGAAAAGTAAAATTTTCCCCCTTGCAAGGTTTGCGTTGAATATCCTCGACAGGTCATTTGCCATTTTATCCAAACTATGGTATTCATGCTAGAGTACCTGCGATATAATATGCGAGATCTCTACCTTAAGTCGGGGGAATGAGAGTCACAGTCAGACCAAAATGCTGTCACGATTTTCAAGCAAATTTTAACTCATTAAGACAATTAGACGACATGACAAGTCGTGAGCAACAGCACGTCGATGACCTTATTGTGAAGAGACAAGCCGTGGTGCAGTTTGTTCGAGACACAATTGCGAAAGCTCAAGATATGCAAAAATAACAAGCAGATAAGAGCAAAAGGAAGAACGTATATAAAGACAGTGATCATGTACTACTTAGCACGACAAAGTGCCTGAAGATGCAGTGTCCAACCTACGAGCCAAAGAGCATTTGCCAAGATTCATTGGACCGTCCAAGGTGTTAAATTGCTAGGGCGATGCGTACACATTAGTCAATTCTAAACGCATCGCCTACATCGTATTTGGGTAGACCAAAGTCGTTTCTTTTTATTAGATCTGCCGATCCTACTATATCTTTGGTAGATGATCAAGCTGATGATGAAGTTACTCCATTTGTCCACGAAGAGCTCATAACTCTTCACCCCAGAGATTTTTCTCGGTGTACAAGCGCTGAAGGACATTAAAGTTTTTTACTGATTCCAGCGCTTGAAAGCAGGAACTGTTCTCATCACAGAGTAGCTCGAGAATAAAGCCTGCCTCTTCAACAGAGCGCAACAGGTGTTCGTGAGCCAATTCACGAGACTTCCCGTCCTACCAAAGTCGGACAGAATCTGCTGAAGTTGTAGTTTAAAACGGGACTTCAAAGCCGATCAATGGGCGAAACCACTGCCCAGAGCGTCGATCTTGAGTTATGCTCTGTATTAAGTTATAAAGGCTCTCGCAGCAACCTTCAAGCGTCGCAATGCCTCAATTTGCCCGCGATGAGCGATCTTTCGCTTCTTGAGTTGCTTAATCGTGATCAGCCCCACATTGAGACAATCGTCAATCATGAGGATTAATTAACTCATCATTGTGGAAAGAAGCAGCTGAACCATCAACGCTGCTACAGGGTTTGGTGGCTCGGCTATCCATCGGACTCGGACACGTAGGAATTCTCGTCAGGTCACAGAGTCTGATGTCCCCGATGTGGTCCGCAGCTACGGGAATCGCTTGTGGGGATGCTAAAGGCAACCCTACGACGAGAAAAGCTTGGATGTGCTCGGTCGTGATTGGGAGTCTTGACAGCGTCGACTCAGCGAAGCAGACGCTCCATCGTATTCTCATTCTTATAGCGAGCACATTTCCGTCGAGAGTCCAGCTTACTGCGATGGGCTGGGTCGGATCATCACGATTAATGGTCCGACGACAACGAAAGAGCCGTTTCATGCTCAAATCGTTGTCTCCATTTCGGTTGAGAATGGAGGTAGCGTCAAAGAGTTCTAGAACCGCTCTTGCCGTTTGGGCGAAAAACGTTATTTTTTTGACTTTTTACTTAACGCTTCATTGTTGATCGGAAAGTGAAATACTCCAGAAGGTCTCCAAAAGTATATTTGACCTTAAGAAGGGATTGGTGTAATGGGCTACACTAAGCTATAACATGAAGGTACATCTATGTGCCTTCTGTATGCATTGTGGGAATTGATAAAAAAAGATAACAGTATGGTGCTCTTAAATGCATTCTTGACATTTCATATGAAGTCACAATCATTCTGTGTGATATAGAATGCTGGTTTCTACTTGGGGATCGAGACCGACGGAAGTCTGTCTTTCGAAGTGGATGGTCTTAGTCAGTCATACTTTCCACGAAAGTTAAAGCTCAAGCTTTTCGAAATACAAGCTCCGTACACCCAATATTTTGTATAAGTTAAGTTTGGGCTCAACCTCAGTACACCTTTGATCTATCAATTTAAAACCCAAGGTTTCACTTGTAAAATCTTTAGGAGCCTTTGGTTTTTTTGCATGTAGCTACGTACCATTAATCATTTTATTTAGCTGCCAATTCGCCTTTAGAAACTCAAGTCGTTCTTCTTCCCTCCAAGTCGAGACTGTCCTTCTCCATTTACGTCAGGAATATTTTTTTTCGTCGCACAAGCGTGTGTGTTGTGTCTGAGGGACTGTTGTGAATAACGCCCTCTTACATTGGTACGGTAGAGCGTGATCGTACCTGCTTTTTATAAATACTGATAAGTCTGATAAGAGTGCGTGTTTATCTACGCCGGGAGCGAGGACGAAGACATTTGGCAAGCGGTAGCGAGATTTTGTATTTGCGATAGTTAGTTGCTAGCTTGTAGTCCTTGTAAATTTAAATTTGATCGATTAAATTTATTCATTTTTTATTATTTCTGCTTTTGTCTTCCTCATTCCTACAAGAACAAATTGTTCAAACCTAGTAGATCGTGAGCCTAAGGACAAGATTTGATATTCCAGCTTCTCTGGTCGGAGCAGCTTACGCTGTCAAACGTAAGGTTTTTGAACGATCGCTTTGATGGAGACCAAGCTTGGAAAGTAATTTGAGCTTCTAGCACTCAAACTAAAAGACATGGGAGATTGTCTATTGCAATACGTACGAACGTACAGACTTAATTAATCTAAGTGTTTTGAGTCTGCCGTGGGTGGAAGGGTAAGAATGAACTTCCAGGCTTCTATTTATTTTGGTGTAAAAGATTTTTATACATGAAATACTTGACTTAAGAGCACCGAGGATATGTCGATGGAATCTCGTACAGAGCACAATACGCTGGGTGTTGTAAGAATATAGAGCACCAACGTCTTGGTGTCCTAGACGCTAGACAACTTAAATTGGAATTATTTTCATTTTGGTAACAGAAGCTATATCAAGAGCTTGAAAGATGGTTTTCAGTTTGGAAAAATATTTCAACTAGTTCAAGCTGCAGAAAAAGCACCAGGGCTGCATGGAGTGACCAGATTCGAAAAGATTAAAGTTGATGTCCGGGCCAACATTTTACGGAGCAAAGGCAAAGTAATGATATTATCACCGCCAAGCTGAGCCGTGGTGGCTTGAAAACCCACATTTGGAGCATTCAATGCGGCATTTGTTGCAAACATTTGCGACAAAGACAGTTTCAGCTTCAGGCATGGAATTGATTCGGCCTAAAAGTGTGCACATCGCGATTAAACTGAGAACTATTTCTTTTATGGTCGTGTGATGCTGGTGATACGCAATAAGCAGATAGATGTATGATAGAGTTGGTGTACTCGGCAGGGTCCTAGCGAAGTATTTTTAATCTTGAAGGGCATTTTGGCGAGCCCGATATGAAAGTCAAGATGTTTACGATGATGTTCCTGGACAAACACGCGGTGATCCAAGCGTGACAAGTGCTGAGCACGTTGAAGTGCGTTTTAAATCATGTTCATGTGCATCAAGTCAGACTAATTACGTCAAGTCAGCTGACATGCTGATCGACCTGTGGACCAAGGCAATGCCCGGACCAGTTAGCAGTTCAACTTAGTGAGTATCAAGGGTGCGGGCGAGGAGAAGTATTCGGAAAAGGAAAAACAGTCTTATGGCTGTATCATGCGTAAGGATCAAGTTTTGTACAATCGCAACAGAGACAAATGTTTGAATGATTGGTGTCAGTCAACGAACCAACTATTGGTCAGTACTCAAAAGTTTGATTTAAGTGCGAGTGACGGTCTAGACATCAATGCCGAGAGCGAAGACGAAGTCTACAGGTGGCGAGACTTTGTACTTATTGTAAGCCATCTCACGGCTCTCTTCCAAGCATGTAGACCATGTAGTAATAGACAAGATAAATAAATTCTGCTACTCCTCCTCTTCTACAAGTGCAGCTTTAGCAAAAACTAACAATAATAATGAATGAGGTCAATATCCAATTATCAATGAGTCTTCACATTGAACTGTCTTCGAGACGAGGTTGAAGCCCTTGGTACTGTATTCCAGAAAGTTCCGTCGACTTTGAGTTAGAATGATGGTGGTAAGGCAACATACACCAAACGACTTAACAAATCAGCTCAAACGCAATCGACGCTCTCATCGCTCCAGCACCTCAACCCGCAAGCTTACCCCGATAAAGGCTGCCCCCGTACCAGCGAAGCATCCTGCTACCCCGTCCCTTAGCTCAGCTAGTAATCCAGTCTCCAGTGTCGGTGGTAGTTTGCTTTCCACAGTAGTAGCATTTCCTATGGAACAGGCACCGCGATCGCCCGCCGCGGTGTAATGACCCCTTAGGTGGCTCTGAGGGGGAGACTGCTGCTCAGCCAGTTGCTGTGAAGCCTGTGGCATCCGCGACTAAAACCTCGGCGACCATGTGTGCCAGTGAAAATAAGACCCTCCTTGAGTGCATTGACCGCAACTTAAACGACGTGGCGGCTTGCCAGTTTTACCTTGACGCCCTAAATCAGTGCAAGCAGCAGAGCATGAGTCTTTAATCTTGGGCACACAGAGTTTCATGGGGTGTCACTCAAACTGAATAATTCTTTACGCCAAACATTACCAAGATGGTGATAATCCTGCTCCAATCATGTAAATACGAAAATCAAGTCAAACACAGCCATCACTCCAAATGTCAATCTAGTAATTTAATTGCCACATTTGATGCCTCTGCTCCTAAGAGTTAAGAAGATCCGGCCTGCATTTTGTCACCACTCACTCACGATTTTCTATTTTGAGCAAGGGCAGTAGGATGTTTCTCAGACCTTCTTGACAATCTGCACAATGTCTTCGTCTTGAAGCTGATGTTCCTTGCCTACTTTCTGCGGCTGGTGCTTGCACGATGCTCCCCATACCCAAGCGTATTTAAATTCCTTCAGCAGCGACTTATGAATTCGCTGACAAAAGTTCTCGACAGTCGGATTTTCTTCGTGTAAAATAACAGGCGCATTGTAATCAGGCAGTCTGCCTCGAGGTTTCGTGTATATGCGAATCATGTGGCAATAGTCCCAAATTGTCTCCAGTAACTCGTCCAGGTTCCATCCATGGTGAGCCGAGATCACGACATTATGCGGGATTTGATCGATGATCGTCAGCTCTTCAATAGTGAGCTGGTCGATTTTGTTTAAAACGTATAAGCATGGAATATACACGCGGTTACCCTCTATCTGGTCAATAAATTCGTCCACCGTCACGTCGGCGCGCAGTGTCACGTCAGCATTGTGAATCTTGTATTCGTGCAGAATTTGGTATATCGTGTCTGCATCTAGCTCGCTCTGAGGAACGGTAGTCTGGAAGTTGATACCCCCTCGCTCCTTACGACGAAAAACCATGTTGGCAGGTTTCTTGTTAAGGCGAATACCAAAGCCTTCTAGCTCGAACTCAATGAGCTTCTTGTGCGTAGCAGGTTTCATAGCATCGAGCACAATAAGAATCACATTACAAGTACGAGCCGTACCAATTACCTGTCGACCGCGGCCCTTGCCGTCTTTAGCGCCTTCGATAATACCTGGCAAGTCGAGGATCTGAATTCGCGCACCACGGTAGTTAAGCGTGCCAGGAATCGCCGTTAGCGTCGTAAATTCGTACGAAGCAGCCTCGGAAAATGTGCCGGTAAGTTTTGTCAGTAGCGTCGATTTTCCCACAGAAGGAAAGCCTACAAGTCCCACGCGTGTGTCGCCAGCCTTGTTGACGTCGAAACCCTCACCAGTACCGCCCCCGCCAGACTTGGAGCCAGCGTCCGTAATTTCGCGTCGCAGCTTGGCAATCTTGGCTTTGAGTAGACACAAGTGCTTCATAGTTGCCTTGTTCTTTTGAGTGCGGGCATACTCGGCCTCGAGCTCGGCGATCTTGGCTATCGCAGTCGACATGCGTGGGTGGTCAAGCTAGTGCAAACAGTATATACGAAGATAAGTTTTCACCAAAAAATACTCATCTGCATTCCGTGAACAGAAATCGAATTAGGGCGGGTATAATATTTTAGTTTTAGTTTGAGAGGGTGGGAAAACTAAAAGATTGTAGTGTAGCAGATTCAAAATTAGTTAGTCACGAAATTAAAAATTGTACATATCAGGAGTGATGGCTGTGATAAAATTTGCCCCGAACTTGCAAAGGTAGACGTCGTGCGTAGCAAGAAGTGACTCCACGACTTTTAACATCATTGTGGACAAGCCATTAAATCACTCGAAATAGCGTTTAGAGGCACGTACGTAGATATAACAAAATCATTCTGACGTCTCGGACCCAGCGTCTGCTACGCGTGGCTCGATCTTCAACGAGCGAGCAAAACACGATTCGCCGTCTGAGAAAGCGACTGTTGAGCAGATTTGTTCCTTATCAAAATGCGAATGAACATTAGCCATTCAAGCTGTCAAGAAGCTAATACGAGCAGTACGTACCAAAACACGTTTGTCCGTCGGCAACAAGTACGGCGTTTTCTGATACGACAGCATTCGCTGGATGAGAATGCCGATGGAACGGATTTTTTTGAAGTTGATCAGATCTCCCTCCACGCGGTCAGGATATTCTTGCAGTGCGAGCACATTTTGAATGACAACTCCAATGTACGGAATTAATGGAGGATTTGCTTCCTTCGTAAACTTATTAAGAGATCGAGCACCCTTTTCAGTGAGTGGAACAAGTTCTTGCCACAAATCCCGCACTTGTGGTGAAAGACGACCCCACGTCTTCTTTAAACGAAACACTGATGAATCGTTCGCTGCATTCATGACCGCCATAAATCCATCAATATTTTGTAAAGGGGAGAGCAATACGCCAGCAACGCGAATGAAGTACGCCAGAATCTCGGCACGCTGGTCCACATCACCTCGCATGAGAACCTGATTAACTACCCAAATAGAGATATGGTTATGCAATAATCGAAGGCGCTGGTATCCTGGCGTTTTTTCTGCATTTCGCTTTGATGCCAACACCTCGGACACTATCACACCAGATAGGCATTAGCTATCAAATAGAGTTGGTATAATAATCACAAACCTTTAATTTTGCTAAAAAGATAATGCTGCAGCAGGGTGATCTGCTGTGCGATGATGCTTGGGTCTATATCCAGAATCCTGGAACACCAAAGCAGCATCAATGACAATTTATCTACATTTGACGACCACAACAAACATACCACAGTCTAGCCATTCGATGTTGTTCTGTTGCAAACGTGCGCCCAACGCTCACGCCTCTCGGTTGCCAGGGTGTGATAGTTGTCGAACGTGTCTCTTCTAAAGTCTCAAGGTTATCCTCCGGTTTTACAACAAATGAATTTTTTGCCTCTCCAGTTTTCCACACCCCGGCAAGAGACATTCGGCGTCGCATCCCTTCCGTAATTATCTCCATTCCCGTCGCGGCAGCGAACAAATCATCATCCAAAAAGTCAAGGTTGGGGTTCGCCTGCTTAGCTTTGCAAATAAAGTGCTTCAACGATTTGTAATCACCCTCACAAAAAGAAAGAATCTGGAATTCTTGAACGCGGTTTGACTGACAAGCATCTGTGAATTCAGGCAGCAAGGAAGTACTAATCCATTGGGCACATTGTGGATCTTCTTCCACAGTTTCGGTATTAAGTGGGATTACTTCCATGCATAGCTCAGCAACATAATTGCAGACCAGCAAATCACATTCCACGCTGTGCTTTAGTATCTCTACAAGCTTATTCAGAGCGCTTAACACCATTCGACGCACGAAAATGCCAGTGTCTGTCCCCATTGAATGCTGTCGCCACAGACTTCGCAAAATGTCAACCATTTCACGAAATTTGTCTCCGCCACCGTCAGACGCATATGCGCAAGACCAAATAAGCGCACTCAGCTCCTCGAGACGGTAATTTTTATAACGCATCAGCAGGTCAGCAATAGCATCGAACGTTCCTGCGACAACTTCCTCAACTCCATTGTTATATTCTATGACAAGATCTTTTCTGTTTGAAGTCAATCCAACCAGGTCTTTGCGCCCTGTTAATGACATGGGGATAGCAGCATGTTCGACATCTAGAAACTCATCGTCTGAGTCATCATCATCATTCTCACCAACACCACAGAATTCTTCGATTGTCGTCGTACTGTTGCCACCCGATAAAATCTCATTTGCATTTGCACCTGATGAGCGTATAGCTTCCGACATAAACACTGCCGATTGGCCGTACAAATCGCATCTATCTGCCTTAGTGTTGTCCCCGAGCTTTGCCAGCAAGCACGCAAATATCTCGTCACAGCCGTACAAGGCGGCATAGTGCAAGGGTGTTCGGTAAACGTTGCAGACTGCTGACGTATCTGCGCCACTTTGAATGAGATAGGTTATTGTTGAAAGGGTCGATGAATTATTGACTGGGGTACTCCCTCGCAAATTAATTGTGGACTGCTGATACATCTGACTATCGTAATAATTGTCAGCCAGTTGACAAGACAGAGACGGCAGAAAGGAAGTGTCTGTGACCATATCGTAATCTTTGGCCACAGCAATCATAAGTGGTGTCAATCCTTCACTTGTGCGAGCATCAACATTGCAACTTTTTTCCACCAGTAATTGGCACGCACGCTGACTAGCGCTAGCTGCAGCGAAATGGAGCGGTGTCTCGCCACGCAATGTGCGGATGTCAGCTTGTGCTTTATAGTTAAGTAGTCCTTCTACTACATCTGCCTGGCCGCTTCTAGCTGCGAGCGCAAGAGCGCTCATGCCACGCTGCCAGTTTCGAGCATTGAGGTCAACATTGCAATCCGCCTCCATGATTGCATCAATTGCGCCAAGATAGCCTCGTTCTGCCAGCAGCATGATTGGAGTGTTACCGTATATGTCTACACAGTCCATAGTTGCTCCATGATCAATTAGTTTCTTGACGATCAAAGCAGCCTTATCCGCATTACTTAATGTCACTGAAGTCACAGTAACTGATTTTGTCATGTCTTGAGACGTATTCCCGATAGCAGGCATCATACAAGGAGATCCGGCCATATGCAGCGCACTGCGCCGAAACTCACCAGTCGTCTTTACCTTCGCACCATGCTGAAGCACATACGAGACTACATTTAAGTGAAGCGCACTAACTGCAACATGAAGTGGTGTATTGCTTCCACACTCATAAGCAACATAATTTACGTCGGCGCCATTTGCGAGCAACATTTGAACGCTGAATACATCACCGCGCTGGCACGCGTGCATCAGTGCCACGTTCCATAATGCCTTGTTTGAGGTCAAAATCTTAAAGTAACTACTTCCTGGAATGAAAGCAAGTCGATGAGGCGAAGCTGATTCAAGAAGCAGTGTCATAATATCTTGAAATGGCCATAAAACAACATTTTGGCCATTCACCGTGACCAAAACGAACCCCCGTGTGATGATATTCCCCACAGCGGAGAATCCCTGAGGCGATATATGGTCCACGACCGCCCCATAGCGGTATGTCGATTCCAACTCGAATTCCAAAACACGCCGCCAGTCCCCGTCAATTGATAGCGTAATTTGGTCCTTAAATATATCCTCTAAGACAGCTGGGATGCTTACATTGCTGATAAAGTCGACCGCATGCGTCAAAATGCTAAGGGAAGTTTCATCGTCAGACGATCCGCCTCCTGATAATGATCCATTTAATTCCGTCAGCAAGGTCTTCAGTGATATTAAATTCTCAAGCCCGCTGTTCGACAGTACATAGGTGAAGATGGGAATTATATCGTCAGGTTCAAGTCGCTCCAGATTATCAATCGTTCCGTGCTCTTCGGCATAAGAAGCTTGAATTTCTTTCATCGTACTCGTGAGCACGTCATACTTTGCCGCTGGCAGTTGGACTTGAGCAATCTGCGCAAGAATCCTAGATGCCTTACGCCATTCTTTCCACGAGACTTGGTGAGGCGGAATATTGAAATACATTTGATCTTTACCTTGTAGCCATCGCACTTTGCGATTGATTGACGATTCTTCTTCATGGTAAACCCGACGCAATAAAGAGTTAATTTTGGATTGCAGAGGTACAAAAAGTACTTCCTCCACATGACGAAAGACAGCTGAGCGCAATATGTCAAGTGAAATCGGCAAATTTTTCTCCGTAGCTTTAACAATACCGTTCACATCGTCGTTTCTAGGGTCTTTCAAAGCTGCTAAGATACGAGCTCCGTGATCTTTTACAATAGAATCGGTTAGTTTTAAATTGAACTCGTTTAACTCACGAAGAGCACCTGGGTTCCGGCAATCGAATGAACTAATAAAACTTTTAAAAGTTACCGCTTCCGGAGACTTGCTTGTGTGAAGCACCCGACGCAGCTCCGCGACGATGCGAATGCTCCGTGCATCGATTGTGCTAGTGCGAAGTCGAACACTGCTTAAGCCGTCCACATGTTGTAACTTACTGTTGGAGACCGAGCTGAGTAGGGCAGCAGAAGGTGATATAGTGCTATTTCCACCACCAGACAAACTTTGCAATAGACAAACCCAGGCGCTTGCATCGTCGTCGTTCGATCCAGAGCACACAAAGGAAAAATCTTCGCCAGCCACTTCAAAACAAAACGGTCGCTTGGTCTCATCCGGTTCCAAAAAGCGTACGGACAGCATGCCATCTTGCAAATGCATTTCTCCGCGTAGCTTACCGAAATTGCTGCCTTTGTAGTATTGCAGCGAAGCCCAGTACTCACCTGTTGCTAGATTTGTTCGCTTGATCAATACGAAATATCGTCGCTTCCAGGTTTTCCTATCATAATCAAGCTGATGTCAGCTGTCATCTCACAGGCTATACTCTTTTTCATCAACGTACATGACGTTCGCCTGCTTGTAAAGCCAGCCACTGCGTACCAACTCTCGGTCAATACGCACAGAAGACGAGTTTCTCCTTAGTCCGTGCAAGTTGTTACTCGAATAATTTGACATGACATCTGCACCTCTGGTTGACATACTCAGCAAAGTCTCTTGATCTGGCACGCGAACCGCCTTGTTTAAAGGTACTCCTCTTTTAGCTGAAGCTCTCCACGAAAACTTCTTACTGCCCATATGTCTATGAGCTCGTTGTGCATCCTCCGCCGTCTGCAAAACCGGTACGTAATCGTCCTCCTCCGCGTCATAATCGCCCACCACGACCTTGGCTTCAGCTCCTCCTTCGCCGTCACAGTTCACTTCGACTTCAACCTGATCTGGGCCATCTAGTCGAAAGCCACTACTCTCCCGAGCTGCTTCCAGCACGGGTATGTCTACATCCGACCCGCCTCGGTATCCAGCGATAAGTCGAGGTACATTTTTACGGCGTGGAGGAGTATGCGACGCACTTTGTGCTCTTAAAGGTGGAAGAGGTGGCGGTGGAGGGCGTTTTGTTCCATTTTGTGGCTGCAACGGTGACGAACCTTCGTCCATGAGAAAAGTACTGAAATTTAGCTGACCAGGAGATGCAATACCTCCTTTGCGCTCCAAATCCCGCTTTAGCACGTCGGAGGGCACGCGATGAAGACTGATCGTACTGCGATCCATACCTTTAAGCTGTTAATCCTATTACAGTGCAGCCCCGCAGGTTCTTTCGGTATTCAAATGGGTTGTATTGCCGTTTCTGTTCGCTTACGTACAATTTAGGCACAAAATCGAGACAGAGTGAGAGAACGAGAGAATATACAAAGAATATTATACACGAAGAGCACGGAACACGCTCGCAGACTCAGACACAGCGCGCGCTAGCAACAGGTGAACCGCGCTCAGTTAGAACTTCGACCCCTTGGGATTTTTTACCCTTCACACAAGCCACAGTCCATATGTCGCGCGAAAGTCGCACTTAGAGAGCCAGAACTCTCTGACAACAAAATAGGGTTTGTTTGTGTTAAAGGCTTGGCCGCCAGTGGCACATGCCTTTGCTTACGCAGATTCTGTATAACAACTGCTGACAGCAAATTAAGCGTAGCATCTCACAGGACTTATATCGCTTCAGAAAACTGAGGTAAACTTCCAGAAGAACACCCTATTTCCTGCAGATGTTTTAAAGACAACCAAAAAATATTATATTGATGGAGAAATTTACACAGCAGCCTAGCTGGTTTCGCGGGCGTCCGCGGGCAAATCCCTTCTACGTCTTCAACACGAGGTGCATATCCGGACAGTATGTCTGCGGCTTACATTCCAAGCCCTCGGCAATCGGGCGCCACACACGCGACGGATCGACTCGTCGAATGGTTAAAGGAAGTCGACTTTATATCAAATACCTCTTCTCCAGCATGGGAAGACAAGGAAGGCGCGATGTCCCAACAGCGCGATGTGGGCCTGCTCGAATCTTGCGGACACCGTGTCCGTTCCCCGACCTCTCGCTTCCGGGGGAAGTGGTATTATTTCCAATAGCCTTGACGAGGCAAGGAGAAGCAATCAGAGGCTGCCCACAGGGCGGCTCTCATGCGCTCGTATTCACGTTCGGTCCTAGGCCTTCGTGTTGAATACGGGCACGCTCGGCGGATCCCGCTACTAAAGCAAAAGATGCGATCGCTCGATCGTTAGGCGTCTATGAAGTCGGGCCCTCGGCCACTATACAAGCTGGGCTTAACCAGCGGAAAGCTCTTCAAGCTCGCTTCATGGTTCCTCAAGAAATCTCAATGGGTACGTACCGCGCTCGACTTCGAGCTCAATGGGGGGCGCTCCTGTATACGCAATGCGGACTATTCTTGTGGTGCTTGTCTCAGGCGAAACCGCTGCAGATGATGTAGAGCTCTTTTAGCGATTGAGTTTTCCTCGCTGTCTCACTTAGTGAAACCACAAGAAAGTGGACGTACGCGTAGTGCGCCATCTTCGATTTGAGCTTGCCAAACTTTAGGCGCAATGCCGTCTTCTAGGATATAACGCCCTGTGACACACTGAATCATCCATCACGCCCCTGCGATCTCTGTGGTTTCTAGCACGGGTAAGTCTACGACCACAGCAGCTCCGAGCTATAGCTTTAGCTCAGCTCACGACCCTTTGGCTTCCCGGGCTTCTACCGCGCACGACGACGCGGACCGTCATCATCTTTCAGATCATAAGCGTCCACGACGTCTGGACAGTCTTGCCGGAGTGGCACCTCAAACTCCCACAAGTTTTCGGAGGTATCCCCGCCACTTCACAAGATATTAAGCTCGACCCTGTCGACGACGTCGACCCACGAGGCGTTCCACGTGATAGTGGACGCCACCATTCTCGTCGAGGAGAGTTGATCGGCGTCTGGTGACTCGCGATGCTCCTTGAGCTTTGGACAAAGTCAATCACCATCGGCACTTCGCCGAGCATCTAACACCGCTGTGCGAAGGACCTCAAGAGCTTGGAGCTCTTTGTGCACCGACTGCCTCCTGTTGATGATTATTGTGCTCTGTCGGAGCGGCTCTCAGCCGTCGGGCAGACGAATACGTCACTTCGTGCGACGGTGAAGCGCCTTGCGCCGCTGGAAGCAAAAATTGGAGCACTCCGTGCTCAGAACCAGTTGCTGGTTCAGCTTCTGGGTGACCGGGTGCCTCTATACGCCGCCCCGGTGCCAACGCTTCCGCATTCGCTTGTGTCGGACCCCGGTACGGCTTAAGCAAGCCCACATCAAACCGTGTAGGGAGCTTCATCTTAAACAGGCAGAGACTACATGTGTAGAAAGGATTTTAGAGTTCTCAACATTTCCTCTGTATCTTCCGTCTGTGTATCTCTTCTACGTGACTTGGCTTTCAGCCATCGCGTCGCGAATGTGTCATAGGACACTGAGTCTGGTAGACAGGAAGTCATCGACTTCTTTTCGGACAATGAGAAGACTGACATCAGCTAGACGCTCGCTATTCCTCCCCTAGCCATGGGATGGCGGCGTCAGCGGGACGCAAGGATTAACAAGCTCATCCACGTAGAAAGGCGTGAGCAGGTAGACGCATGCACTGCATTGTTTAGAGCGAACTCTGCAAGTGGCAGCATGGCGCTCCGGCGCTTCGGCATCTCGGCGCAGACGCTGCGAAGAACGTTTTTGATGACGCGATTATCCCTTCGGTTTGACCATCGGTCTGCGGATGATCCGCTGTCGACATATCCAACTTGGCGCCTAGCACCGTGAAGATAGTCGACCAGAATTTTCCTGTGAAACGGGGGTCTCTATCATAGACAATCGACTCTGGGAGTCCGTGTTGACGGAAAACACGATCCACGAACAGCGTTGC